TGGACTGCGGACAGCTGGTTGGGTCCTGGGTTTCGAGCAGTGTTACTAACGTCACTGAGGCGGTGAAGGAAGTCTGCAGTAGGGAAGTGCTCTTGCCGAGATGGCTGGAGATTGCTAAGCAGGAGGTGAGTTGAAATCGATCAAACGGGCGCGCGCTAATTGAATCGCGACATTTGGTGTTTTGAACGAAACGAAAATAATGGGAAAGTATAGATTGTTGTACAAAAATTCTTTTTGATGCTGTTACTGTTAAGTTAACAAAGATAGAGTATATATTGGAATCGGAAAAAAAAAATAAATTTCACGTTTCGCGAAAATATTTTCTGTTTTCAGAAATTACTCGATGAGAAAGAGTGCAAATTATGGGAGTCTCAGAAGCAGCAGGAGGTGATGTTGAGTCGCTTGCCAGGGGGAGGCTGGGGAGCAAAAGCAAAGTGCTATCAGCACGTTGGTGTGGATCAGCTCAAGAAACCGTGAGGGCGCAGGTTCGATCCCCGGTGGAGGTATTTTTTTTTCAGATTATTTGATCTCAAACTTTCCCCTACTACTGTGAAGAATTTGGCGAGCGCCCGAACGTGTGTGGAAGCCCTCACTGAATTCGCACCTGAGGGGGTGCTTACGGTTCCGCATGCACTTAGTTATATATGTCATGTGAACCTACCTGTTAATGGTAAAGTACAGTGGCAGACGCAAGTAAGTAGCGATGAATTTTTGAAGTACATTTTTGTGTATCTTTGGAGGTTTCATGGCCCTTGAGATTTACTAACTCAACTAGAGTCGTTAATAAGTGATTTTTAGCCGGGTCATCGATAAATGAGTCATAAGGTTTACGCCGGGCTACATCATATAATATAACAAAAACAAGAGGGGTTATCCATTCATAATATTTCATATTATTCTTTGGACCCTCACTGGTGTATCACGTCAGTTTACGTAAAACGGGTTGTTGTGAAACTCCCACTATATTAAATTATATTCATTTAGTGGTCCTCTGAAAGTTAGGTTAGAAACTTGTATACAGCATTTCCTCGCACATAGCTCGATAGCTGTGAAGCAATGTGGGAAGTATGCACATGGTCAACTACATTTGTTGGTGATGACAATATGAAAGTTTTGGGGAAAATTATTATTGATTTCTGTACACTTCTACCCGAATTCGTATGTGAGTTCGTGAACTCAGCTGAGGAAAGCAAACATATACTCCAACATTGAAAAAATCGCAATTCTCGACAGTTTTTTCTTTGGAGAGCTTATTTGAGATATCGGTGTTATATTTCTGCTCAGGTTCGCACTTCGGGAAGTACCTGCAGTCTCGAGAGCCTCAACCCGGTCCCTGCTGGAGATAGTAAACCTCGAGTTCAAATAACGCGAGAAGTTTACTCGTCACCAGCAAGGACAAACTTTTTATTTACTGCTATGCTGCAGTGCCCATCTGAGAGCGGGTGAGAGGAATTTTATCGATTGTGGAATTTTTTTCAGGGAAAAATTCTGAGTTTTTGGTATGCGAGTAGTAGTTTGTGATGCAGTGGGACAGAAAATATGCACATGGTCAACAACTGCATATGAGAATTTTGAAAAGATTTTTGTTGGTTTTGTAGTTTTTATATGACCTCGTATTGTTAAGTGAGGAAACTTGTGGAGGCAGCTGAGAAGAATGAGAACATATTCCAACCTTGCTTTTCATTTAGCGGCGAGCTTTTGAAATGGATTGAATGAACAATGGAGTTGCATATGAACTGAAATTGGGGCATTAGTGAGAGAAAATTTAGAATTTTGAAAATGGAGTTTCATCAGCTGAGATTAGAGGTTTTCTCGATTATTAACAACAAGAATTACGGTAAGGAACCGATGAGAATTTCGCAAAAAAATTCTTAGAATTTTCATATGGTCATCAACACATGTAGTTGACTACGTTTATCTTCTTCCACACTGCGGCAAAGTTCGACTCATTCTGTTGCGGAATTTTTACAAATAGAGATTTTTTAGTATTGATTCTGTTATTTTAGGGCTCGTCGAGTTACCATTCCTTCTGCAAAAGTGACGAAGTTAGAACATAACATTCGCTGGTTCTGCGGCTCGGTGCTGGCGCAGTTCCTGGTGGAAGGCCGCTTCCCCCCTGAGGTTACTCCCGATGGTTTTATACACGACATGTGTGAAGCGAAAGAGTATAGGAACATGACCATTGACGAGTTAGCAGGGGAGAAGCGTAGACGGCAAAAAATGAAGGCAATTCAGGAGGAGTATATGGAGGAGCTGAGGGAGCGGTATAAGGTGAGTTGATTGCTTACGAAATTGCTTACCAGTGGTTTGAAATGTGAAATTTTGAGGGAAAAAGTGGAAAATTTGGATGGTATTGAGTTTCATAGGATACCGTGTTGTCATTGGGAGAACAATGAAGTTTCACTCTAGTGATATGAAAAAGAGTAGTGGAAAGTATATTTCACGACTACTACTGCATATCACCGAGTTTTTCAGAGAGTTTTACGCCATTTTACGTAGAACGGGTTGTTGTGAAACTTCCATGTGTTGAGGTTGTTATGAGTAATATCGAAGCGAAATGTAGATGTGGGAGTGGGGACAGGAAATAGCGCATTCGCTCATCCGTGAACATCGTAGCGGTGTTATTCTTTCAGAACACACCGAAACCGGTAGCAGGCCCTACAGTGAGTACACTGAGCAGAACAGAAGTACGGCGGAGCGAAGTTTTTTCCTTGTACGTTTTTTTGTATTTAGAAAGTAATCGATGCGAAGTTGAGAAAAGGAGAAGGAACGCAATCGTGTCATTTGAAGTCGGCTGATGTGGACTTAACAATTTCGCGAGAAGTGGAAGCAGTGACGATAACTCAAAAGGGTTGCCCGTAGGTTGGTGTGGTTGGTAGCATTGTTGGAAAATATGTACATGGTCAACTACATGTGTTTATGCTGAAAATAAGGAAATTTGGGAAAATTTGTTTTTTTGTGAGAAACTTTCGTGAAGAAACTGTTGTTAACTCAGTTGAGGAGAGGGAACGTAAATTACTTCAACACTGATTGATATTTGCTAGTTTATGTTGCTCTCGGAAATACGACACGAGGTTATGGAAATGGACTGTTGTTTTAGTATGAGAGAAAAACGCGGAGATTAAGAGCCTTCATTCGGT